TAAGAGACAGAAAAGTTAACTTGTTATTAATATTATTATAAAGAATGAAGAGAACTATAAGAAGAGGTATATGTTGTTACACCTTTCAAAGCCTACTCTTTAGCTTTCCTAATTCAATAAAATTATCAATTAATTTGCAAGTTATATGTATTTTTTATTAATTCTTTCATTTTGGTTAAAAGAAAGTTTTTCTTTCCTTTTGTTTTTGTAATTGACTATGTGAACATGAATATGTGTAGGAGTACAATCAAAAAGTACGTTGAAGAGACAGAGAAATTGTCCTTTAAATTAATGGAGCTTATAGCTTTGAGCTTAGGCCTTGAAGCTAAAAGGTTTGAGGAATTTTTTGTGAAGGATCAAACTAGCCTTTTTCGTCTTAATTATTATCCTACATGCCCTAGTCCACACCTAGCCCTTGGTGTTGGTCCACACAAGGATGTCGGAGCCTTAACCGTTCTTGCACAAGATGAGGTTGAAGGACTAGAAGTGAAACACAATGGAGACTGGATAAGAATTAAACTCATCCCAAATTCCTTCATTATCAACCTTGGTGATATTGTTCAGGTACTCTATTTCTTTACCACTCCAAACAACATTCTTTCAAAAACTACAAAGATTAGTTTACCCATTTTAGCCAAGTGCTTTATTTTTCTTTAAAAAGTCATTTTTAATCCTTAATATTTGTGGAAAATGATAATTATTAGATTAAGCACCCAAACAGATTAATAACAAATGAGCATTAATCCTACAATTAATTTAGCAATCCTTAATACTTCATAAAACATTAAGCGAAAGCATACCTAAATTGACTTTTGGGAATAACATATATCAAAGTATTTGATCTTTCAACTGTATAACAACTTAAATTGTCTCTTGAATTTTTCTTCTTGTAGAAACAAAGAGAAAGAAACAGAAATATAATATATGCATTGAAAAGCTCGTTGAATTAAATTCTTATTTCATAGTGAAATTTTGACTTGATGATTGCGGTTGTGTGTGATTGAAGGTTTGGAGTAATGATGCATACGAGAGTCCAGAGCATAGAGTGGTGGTAAACTCTGAGAAAGAAAGATTTTCCTATCCATTCTTCCTCTTCCCTGCACAGGAAACTGAAGTCAAGCCTTTGGAGGAGTTGATAAATGACCAAAACCCTTCCAAATATAGGCCATACAAATGGGGCAAGTTTCTTGTTCACAGATTTAGCACCAATTTCAAGAAACGAGAGGTGGATAACATTCAAATATTACATTACAAGATAAAATAATAGTATATAATTAACGTCATTTGTCTTATGTCTGTAAAATTCTGAATTGGGAATAATATGTAGCACTGTTAATCCAAAACATCATTTCTGAAGTGAATGACGGTCAAAATTTGATGCGAAATTTCTAGTGGGTTTTATGTATGCAATATTATCAAATAATAAACACCAAGTGCCATGTTTATGTATAAAGCTGAAATTCTATTGATAGTCATTTAATGAATTATCTTGGAGTAAGTTCCAGTAGAATTAGTTATACTATTGAAATAAAATCATTATCACCTTTTGAAATACTTAAGTCCAATTAACTGGTAACGCATCTTACCTAAGATATCCTTTTCACCTTTGTTTTTTAATTAATTCATTCAAAGGGTTTGAAATTTGAATAAGAAAATTAAAATTAAAGTAAAGAAGGTTTTGAAATTTTCTTTTGTAGGAATCCCATTTTTTTTATTTCTTTTTAATAAAGCTTTCAAAATTTTACTTTCTTTTTCATATTTTTACAAATCATAAATTAAAAACTAATGAAGAAAGTATATTAAAAAGTAACAAATCTATAGTTAAAAAATATTGTCTTAAATATAATGTTTAGATTACATTTTTTAAGTTAATAAAGTTAATTTAACATTACTTCAAAATTTAAATGTCTTAAATATAATGTTTAGATAAAATTTGAAATTCTTTAATTTTAAGTAATTTAATTTGTAACAAAATTTTAAAATTTCAATTCTTTCAAAATTTCTTGCCGAAACAAAATTTCTTACCAAAACAACACATTGTAATACAACATTTCAAATTCTCTAAAAAAATAAACCACCCTCTTAAAATACCTTATCTAATCATGCTATTAAGAAAATTCTATTCAGTCACTTAATCTAAGGTTTCACATAAGGTTTCGCGTACCGATTAATCAAGTAAACCATACGATTATAAGCACAACGTATTGACATTGAACATAGAAATTTATTTAGCCACTAGTCAAATTCCCAGCACTAAGCTTTCTTATATCAAATAAAAGATACAATAATCATAAATGAAAACTAAGACTTGGGTACTTATTATGTGTTCTTATGAACAATAACACTTCTAAATATCACAAACACCCTTAAATCACTATAAATGGTGGCTTTAGGATGTTAACAAGTGAAAAGGAAGAACCAATCTGCTTGAGGAACAGTTTAATTGTCAACATCTCAGTGGTGGACATTTCTCAGACTTCACCATCCCAGAGCTCTTCAACGGTCTTATAGGCACCGTAGTTATCATCAACAAAAAATGTGCCCTTAATTAGCCTATCCTGCATGACCAAATTCTGTGTTACCTCAAAAATTCAAACTTTAAGGCCACTTCCGGCATTATAATGCTATGGTACACAAGCATAATACAAGGTAGTTAAAGATGGTAAGGAACTACGTACCAAGAAGAGAAATACCAGAAAAACTAGATTATACCAAGGGCGTGTTTAATTCCCTTGTACCACTTTCTATTTTGTTTTACATAACAAGTACTCACTCAACAATCCATTAGTCATCCAGAATCTTCCATGTTTTGAAAAATTATCATCCAAAATCTAAAAAGTTTTGAAAGTTATTTCAAAGTAAGTAGTTAGAAATCTAAAAGAACAGAAAGTTCCTCTTTTTTTTGTCTTTTTCAACTCTTCCCCAATTATACACTGTGTCTTGCAACCTGGTTGATTGCATTTTGAAACTATAAATAGTTTTGAAAAAAGGAAATTAAACACAACTTAGGTAAGGTTAATTGAATCTTTAAAACTAGAAAAAGTTTTTGACAAAATAATTAAACTCACCCAAAGTAACTAACTAACTACTTGCCTGCTTAATTTCAGAGAACTTGGCCATTAGCTCTTCTGGAATAGACCAGTCAAAGACATCAAAGTTTTCCTTGATCCTGGACTCAGTATTACTCTTTGGCAGCACACTATGACCTGATTGCAATCCCCACCGAAGGGCCACTTGAGCTGGTGTCTTCCCCAGTTTCTCTGCAGTCTCTACGACAACAGGATTCTTAAGAATGTCACTTTTCAGATTCCCTGGTGAGCCTAGTGGAGAGTATCCCTGAAAAGAAATTTGTCATATATACAAACAGTTAGAATGCAAATATCAGAAGAATAAAGAATGGTTGTTGAGTATAAACCAGATTCATTTTCAACTAGCCCTGTAGACAATTTCACCAAAAGTGATAATTTTCTTTTCAAGTGATAGTTTATAGGAATAATATGCTTTTATTTAGGTGAAAATACCAAGAAATATGTATCATACGTTCCATACTTACAGATATATGTATTCCTTTGGATTCACAAAATGCATGCAACTTTGGCTGCTGCCATCC